AACTTGACAAATGACATACATGGCGGCCCCCATTTTGCTAAATGAACAAGAGTTGTTAAGTGGCGAAGCTTGGGTTCAAACTTCAGAAACCTTGCTGTATTGCTTTGGAAAATATTGCCAAACTTGTTACATGATGGTAAAAAGGTGACTGGCAAGAAGTGTCCTCATTAACTTCCGTTTTGGCTTGGGTAAAGATAGTGCCCTCCAAGCATTTTCACAAACTTTGGGTTCCAACAAGTGTCTTGAAAAGACTTTTCTATCCGTTAGCCAGAAGTTTCGGAGTTCGAACAGTTATTTTGTAGGTGTTTTTTGACTGGGTCCTTTCCGCGCGATGTCACACCTCATGCCAGATTTTTGTTCGAGCTGGCAAAACAAGGTGGGCATGGAAGCACGACAAGAAGGAGTGGGTATTGATTAATCCAGACGGGCGTCGACCAGAGAAATCTGTCTCCGAGCCATACAGATCAGTGCAGTCTCCGCCTGTGCCTCGACACTCAGGTAACTTTTGCCGTCATGCTTTTTTGCTCTGGTGTGTGCAGCCAATGCATTCTACAACTGCCCAAGGATGAGAGCCCGAGATCGGAACATCTTCCAAGCAAGCGCAGGAAGTAAAAAATTGAGCGCTGAAACAAACGATTGGTATTAGTCATTTTTTGCGCCTGGCATGACTTCTTTGCTCCGCTGCTGAGTCTTGTTGCTGGGGGACAAACCAGATCGGGCCCACTTTGAGGTACTTCCGTGCGGTGACTTTTGCCAGGGACACAGCTGGTTGATTTTGATTTAGTTTTCTGAAATCTTCCGGTCAGAGACCTGTCTGGTGTTGACGTTGAGGTGGAGTGCGACGCCTACTGCACAGAAGTGCTGAAAGCACGGATGTCGGAAGGGGCTTTGCCAGATTGCCCCATTGTGGAGGATGTAAAGGGCTATTGCCCTACCGGGTGTGCTGCAGAAGCCATTGCTCTTACCCTTGGATTTCCATGCCAAGCCGATGCCTCAGCTCAGGTGAGATCTTCTTAAGAACCTTTAAGGGAGCAAACCTTATGGTTTTAGACTGGAAGGCATGCGCAGATTGCATTAAGCACATTGCTCGATCTTCCTGAGGGTGTCTCAGCTGCGGGGAAACAGCAAGGTTTGCTGGACCCGCGGTCCAACCTTGTGGTGGAAGGCTTTAAAGTCTTCGACAGAATGCCATCTGGGTCTGATCCCCAGGCTTTTTGCATCAGTGTGTCATCTCTGCAGGAAATTGTGCTGCATAGTTTCCAAAAAAAGCGTTTGGAAGACGTAGTTTTTCGGGCGGTTTGGTTGGGTCAATTTTTTGGGGTTGGCCAGTGTGGAAGATGTGCAGTGCTGCAAACCGTCTCTAAGTTCGCAAGGAAACTGATGCTGTTCGAGAATGTCGGTGCTCTTCTCAGCGGTCAGCGCCAATGCCGGAAGCTCTTCAACTTTGTTGTAGAGGAAAGGTCGTATCGTGTTGGCATTTGTTTAGAATCATAGTGTGAAATCCGATTTATATTCGGCGAGGAGTGTCACAAGCGCGGCATGGATGTCTATTGGACCTCCAATCGGCTATTCAATGTGGGGCTTCCTGCACCCCCCTCAGCATGTGAGCGGAAATAGTGTAGTGACAGTCTTGCACGTTCTTGTGGTGAGGCCGGACGTCTTCGAGTATTTCTTCTGGCCTTACGTGGGGGAGCTGCGGCTGCCCATTTCTTGCCCAGTGCAGAGGAGTGCAGTTGAATGTTTTTTGCTGCAAGAATATTCCGTTTTGCAGAGATTGTGAAACGAAGCTCGGGATGGCATGACCACAAGCCTGGCTTGTTCAGTTATTTTGTTTGCAGGAGGTGCCGCCAGTGGATTTTTTCGTGAAGAAGCCATGGAACGAGAGAAACTCTGTTCCGCTCCACCAGTGGTTGTGCGATGCGAAGCATCCAAACCACGCGTCCCGGATGTCATGTTTAGGGAATGTTGTCGTTCCACAGCAAGCTTTCCTAGCGTTTTCCACCTTGATTCGCTTGGTGCGGGGTGAGTATATTGCGTAGTTTGGCTTCGGCTCCTACCAGTCTGGATTCATCAGTCCAGCTATGGGGTGTTTATTGGGACACTGGTCCGCTTGCAACAATTTACATTGACCGCGATCATCAATCCTGACAGGGAAAACGCCACCATCGTTTTAGCCTTGCCTGCAAGCACTTGGCTTTAATTGTTTGACAGCCTATAGGATTTGCGACCTCCTTGAATTAGTTGACCAGAGCTTCAAGTTGCGGTGTTGGAACAAGCATTTCACTCGCGAGGTTAGCGTGGAACGTGTGCTCCATGACGGCTTGACAAGGCCGAGTGCAGGTCAGGTTCACGTCTCGGCCATGTAGGCATCTTTCGCAAAGTATGATGGCATCAATGCCACGAGTTGAGCCAGTGATCAGATTGTTTGAGGTTATGGCTGGGGTTTTGTTATCATTCTAGACCAAAATCCTAAACCCTAAACCCTAAACCCTAAACTCTACGGAAATTTGTGTGCGGCATGGACATTTAGGGCCTATGACTTTCGAAAGTCACTAAACAGCTGTTTTTTGAAGAGGTGAGTTAGTGATGGATCCAACCTAGGATCCATCACTAACTCACCCCTGTGGTTTGTGGGGGGTTTTGGGGGCCCGCAATTTGAAAATTGCATCTGTGCTGTTGGATCTTGAGTTAGTGATGGATCCTAGGTTGGATCCGTCACTAACTCAGCCTCAAATTTAGGAGGCAGTTAGTGACGGATCCTAGGTATGATCCGTCACTAACTTGTCTTTTGCGGGTGGGGAGTGTGACTAGCTTGAGGTAGTGACGGATCAGAGTAGGATCCGTCACAACTGTGTCTCTAGGAGTTAGTGACGGATCGTAGGTATGATCCGTCACTAACTAGTCTTTTGCGGGTGGGGGGTGTGATTAGTGACGGATCAGAGTAGGATCCGTCACAACTGTGTCTCTAGGAGTTAGTGACGGATCGTAGGTATGATCCGTCACTAACTAGTCTTCTGAGGGTGGGAGGTGTGATTAGTGACGGGTCAGAGTAGTATCCGTCACAAACTGTGTCTCTATATAGGGGTTAGTGACGGGTCGTAGGTATGATCCGCCACTAACTTGTCTTTTGCGGGTGGGGAGTGTGACTAGTTAAGGTAGTGACGGATCAGAGTAGGATCCGTCACAACTGTGTCTCTAGGAGTTAGTGACGGATCGTAGGTATGATCCGTCACTAACTAGTCTTTTGCGGGTGGGGGGTGTGATTAGTGACGGACCAGAGTAGGATCCGTCACAACTGTGTCTCTAGGAGTTAGTGACGGATCGTAGGTATGATCCGTCACTAACTAGTCTTTTGCGGGTGGGGGGTGTGATTAGTGACGGGTCAGAGTAGGATCCGTCACAAACTGTGTCTCTATATAGGGGTTAGTGACGGATCGTAGGTGTGATCCGCCGCTAACTTGTCTTTGGCAGGTGGGCTCCAAGTTTTTGACGGATATCACGAGAGTTGGGAAATATGTTTTGTGCAGATCAATGGGCAATAAGAGGCACGTTCACCTGGTCAGTTTCACCGTCTCTTGTAGTAATTTTCCTTTTGGTTTGGGATTTTTACTGGCGACTTTTTTCTTTGTTTTTGGGACCCTTTTTGGGCGCAAAAAAGTCGCCCTTCTTAACCCCTTTTACGCAGCCAAACCAACAGGAAAATTACCAGTCTCTTGTGTCAGCACGACAGGTTGCCGTGAAAGTTGGTCCATTGATCTTGGACTGAGTGCTGGCGTCCAGGCAGGGGTACAGAACCAATCTGAGCTTAGAAATTTGAAGTTGGTTTTTGAAGGGTTTTGCTTCCAGAGTGCCGTGTGGGATTCAACCCACAAATCACATGTTAAATGGCCGTGCGACAGCCTGGCTCAAACTGGATGTCATTGTAAGACATTGACCAATGAAAAGTTGCATCTTGATTGGCGTTTGGATTTTGCTTTTTGGTAGGATGTTTGCCAAAAGGGCCACAGGTTCGCGGGCTTATCTTTTAGGATCGTGAAGAACTTCACGCATTTTGCCATGCCTCCAAGCGTTGCCTTGTTGGTTCACAATGTGTGGGCACAGCGCATCGTGGACAATGAGAAGGTATGGGAAATCCGGAACAAGCCAACAAACAGACGTGGCCGAATTTGCATAGCTTGTACGAAGAACAGCACTCCGGAATTGAAACCACTCATTCTGGGGGAAGCCACCTTGATAGATTGTTTCAAGGTTTTTGAGAAGCGTGGGTCATTCATCACGGCCCCGGCAAAGAAGCCATCCAATTTCCTTTTCCTCAAGAAGAATATCCCCAACCATCGTATCACTGGGATTGATAACTTCCTGCAGTTTGAGAATTACACAACAGCTTACGCCTGGGTGCTGAAGGATGCGGTCAGATATGCAGAGCCACAGGAGTTGAAGCAGAAACGGGGTCAGATAGTGTGGGCGAAGCTGTCCTGATTTTGTTCCTGTGGAACTTTGACGTGTCTGCTGGCACATTGCTGGTCCACACGCCTGCGCCCGTTGGAAAAACTAACTGGAGCCACGCCCTTGCATCTCAGTTGTTCTAGCTTCTCGCGGTTTCTGTGAGGGAATTTCCTTGTTTGTCATTGTGTTTTTTGATTCCCATCGGTTTGTGCTCCGTTGGCAGGCGCTTTGCAAAAATCCGATGCTGTCAAGCTCTAAGAGTGATGCATTGCCTGCAGCCGGACGCGTGGCCTTAGGTTTTTGCCAAAGGCATTGAACAGAATTAAGGTCGCCCTGCATTTCGCTTGTCACCGATACCTTAAAAAAACATGAGGCTGCTTGCTGTGTTGTTGAAAGATACGGTAAGCGTGTTGCTCAGAGCTGAATGGCATGGGCCACATTAGTGAACCTGGTTTTGATCGGGGAGACAGTAGCTTGCAAACATTTCCTTGCAAGTACATTCCAGGCAAGCAACGGCTCACAGGTTGCAAACTGGTAGGACTGTGAAACAGGCAATGGGGGTGAAGCGGAAGTCGACCGGCGGCAGTGCCAAAGCAAAGGTGCAGAAGCCTGACCCTTCAGGCATGTTTTCCCACGTGAAAGTCGTGACTGATTGGTTGCCAGGCTGGCAGTAGGTCACTTGAACGTAGCCAATGGAAGTAGCATATGGGTGTTGTGTGCAACAGAGCCAAGGCTTCGTGATAATGTGACCCCGGTCGGGGGACCTGACAAATTTCTGGAGAAGAAGTACGCGACCAAGGAGACTGTGGATCATGTCAGGTGAACTTTCACCATTGCAGGGAAGGTGGAAGCCAATCATGTCTTGATTTCTTTCTTGCCCATTTACTGTTTAGAAACTGCTTGAAGGATGCGAAGCTTGATTTTGCAGGGTGGCTGAATGAGTCATTCCCTGCGGACACCAGGCCCAGAATTGAATTGTCAGTGATTGCAGTAGGCAACCATTGGCAGTTTGTGGCGATTACATTGCTTCCGAAATTTATTCGGCAACAGTAGGCAGTTTGCGCCTATGGCTTGCAAGGTGCACGTATGCAGTGGAGCTCTCTGAAGGCGTGCACTGTTTGCGGCCGTATCATTTGGCGTGGCGAAGCGACTTCGGGCTGAGCTCTCTCCTTGAGCCCGAAGAGTTGTACACACTGGCAGAACTCTACCTGACAGAGGGGTTACTTGTTTTTTTTTGCTGGGCTTTCACCCAAGCAATTTTGATTGCAATTTTTTGACATTTGTTGCGGGAAGGATTGAAACTGACTGAGAGGAATGATGTTGGACGGCGCTGGTTGTGAGCCAAGGTTTAGAACAGATGCTGCGCTGCCAGGGGTGGAACGCATCGCAGTGACGAAGCCGGACTCTGCATTCTTGGAGGCTCCATATAAGTCCTTGCCGCCTGTGGCCGGTATCGGGCATAGTTTCTGCCATGATGTTTGCTCCAGAAACACAGGTCGTTTCGCAGGCAGCTGGTTGATTTTGGTTTTCTATAGAATTTAAACTGTCTACTCATACACAACAAAGATATATAAATACATTTAAATACAAAAAGCGCAAAAGTTTGTGAATATCTCAAAAAAACTGATTGTTGCGAAAATTACTGCAACTTCCTTTATATAATATAAATCCTGGCTTTGTCTTCAAAACAGAAGGGTTGCAGTCAAAAAGATGGTCAGCGTCTCAGAAGTAAATTGTGAACTTTTTGCCTTGTAGCATCCTGTCGTTGTCATTCCATCAGTTTTTACACTTTTTGATGCTTTATTCAGAAGACTGAGTTCAGATTTCTGCCCGACGTGTGTTGTGAAGTCATGGATTTTCTAAATTTTCAGTCCCACGTTCACAATTTTCAAAGACCCATGTTGTGGCTTAGGTTCCCGGATTTACTGAAAGCGTTTTATGGTTTTGTGACGTTTGGATGTAGCCGTGTTCTTTTTTTCGCCGTAGCATTATAGTCTCTAAATGTTATTGTTCGATTCTGTATCCAATACGTAACATGAGTGTGCGCCTGTCAATTTTCGTTGAAATTGGTGTGAAAAATCCCTTTAACCCTAAGCCTTAAAAACTCTAAAGTAAGATTTTTTAATGAATATCATTTTTCCAGGATACATAAAAAATCCATGTGTTTAATGTTGTCTCACAAGAAGCATAGAGCAACATCGTTTAAATAAATAAACTAAACAAAAAAGTAAATCGAACCTACAAATCAAAACACAATTAAATAATTGTCACATATTTACCGTATATTTAATTCATTTAATTCAAATAGCAAAACAAAACCTCGACCCTAAACCCGAAAACCCAACCCAAACATACCACATGTATAAGCTAAGCATGAACCTGCAATAACAAAAAGATACGTATAACGTTTCCATCTACAAATTTCAGAACAAAATCTGGAGCCGAGCAACAACCGTGATAAATGACATGATTTGAATTCGACTGCATTTGTTCAATTATTGTTTCAATTTAAATGACCCCAGCTTTGCTAGCAGGTTCCAAGGGTCTCAGGGTTCCAGCGTTCATTGGTTCAGTGATTGCAGGGTTCAAAGGTTCTGGCTTTTCGCACCGCCAACAGCCACTGCGGTTCGGAATTTTCAAATTTCAAACTTTGACACGCGTAAAATTTCAAGACTTCATGAGCGGCAATAAAAACTAATCATATTATACATATCATTTCTTGAAACCCAAGATATACAGATTTAACAGAAAAACTAATTTGCATGTATTTATTCCTTTATTATTGCATACAAGATCATAGTAACTGACATCATCGATATTCAAAAAGGTTCAAGTATTATTGTTTAAAGCCAACGGAAAACATTTTGAATCAATTCGAAAGGCGGGTTAGGCTGATTCTTTCTCGGCTGAGGCGATGAGATTCCGCCTTTTTCAGTCGCATACGTGAAGGGCTGGCGCAGATCCATCACAGCTTTGATCGTTGCTGAATGTCTCCGATCCCTTTCTCTTGACTTTGGTGAACTGACTGATGTTTACAAGGACCGGGTTGTTTTCAGTTGAACTTGCCATTGTGCCGGGGGCCTGTTTCGAATTGCAATGTGCGTACTGAGTGACAGCGGCAGTCAGTGTCATTTAGAAACGCTCCAGAAATCTATGTCGACTGTGCATGCGACCTATGGCCACTACGATCACGTCAGAGACCAGGTGATGGCATCAAGAGGCATGTTCCTAACTTTTTGTGTGGTTGCTTGCTCTTTTTCTTGCGGTGGTGGGGCTGTGAGCTTCGTGGCTTCCCATCCCATGAGAGTTCCATGAAATTCTGGGTGCAAAATAATATCAACGATTTTCGGGTTTTGAGGATTTGAAAGATAATTTGCAAACATTCATTGTTCGCCCCACATGGAAATCCCAGATTCACAGTGCAGCGCAGGGATCACATTGGCCGCTACAGCAACGAGAAGAGCGCCCCACTGCTTTAATCTGATGCGTCAGATGCAGGTTTTGGATCGCGCAGGAGCCAAGGACGATACTGAAAAAGACCCTTTGATTATTATTGTGACTGCAGTATTTATGCCGGGTTTTGGGGCCAAGCTAGGCTGACCATAGTGAAATTGACCGTGTCCTTTTTCTTCCGCGAGATGTCAGAATGATTGTCATCGTGAGCGTCGCTTGTTTCTGGCTGACACTATCTCTTGGTCAGTGAGTCAGGCCAAGGCCTCCATTCATTCTCCGAAATCGCAGTGCAAAACCATCTTGGGGGTTGGATGCTGTGTTGAGCGGTTTTGAAACTTGCTCTGCTATCATAGGTACTTCAAAATAGAGATGTTCAAACGTTTACAATCAAGATCTTCTCTTAGTAATCTGACTCTGAGGTATGGGAAAGTGCGGCGGCCGTTGCCCGTGCATTCAAGATCGGAAAGTTTGAGAGTGAGGCCATTCACAACCTGCAGAACAAGGTTGCAGCACCCGTGGTGGAAGCCTTGCGAGAGGCCGTGCGCTGCCGCGGAATGCGTGGCTTCTTGCAGCACGAAATCATTGCCAGGGACATCTTCAATGTCGCCTTTTCATCTGGTTCAGCCAACGGTGGAGGGTACGAAGTTTGGACGGGCTACTTGACGAACAAGGAAGACAACGTGCTTGCCCTTTGGCATATAGTTTCATGTTTTTTTTTGATTGTCCTATACACTTTGTTTTGCGAAGGTTCTTTGAATTTTCAGGAATCAGAGGTGGTTCGGCCTATCCACAAGCAAGCGTTTAAGGTTGCAAAAATACCCACCTGAGATTGTCAGGTTTTGCTGCTTGTTCGTCGCATGTGCCGCGACTGGGACAAGCTTATGCCGAGCATGCGCAAGGCTTGGAACTTCAAGGACACCAGCGGTTTGCATGCTGCGTGTGGTGGATTTATTTATTTCATGAACTTGCTCAAAGAGAAGCTTCCCACCGCAGAGTTTGAGAAAGTCCACGAAGAGCTGGAGGTTCAATTTATGATGGGATTTTTGGACCCGGACATTCACCACGCTCTTGAAACCACTGCGCCGCCCGCACCAGTGGATTCAGTGCAGTTCTTGAGGAGCGGGGTTTTAGCATGCATTTTCGCCTTGACATCACATGTTTTTGGGATTGGAAACTCTGCAGCAGAGTTTAATTAAGAAGGGCTTGGTTTGGGATTGGTCACTTCAGGAATGTGTGGAATGAGATTGTGCAGCGGAACATTCGAGAGATTGAGGACCGTGACCGTGAACTGGCTGAGAAGGTTGCGTCAGCGACCCTGGAGCAGATCAGGCTCAAGTTTGATGCCGACATGGAAATTTTGAAGCAGCGTGTGCCAACAAAGGAGAAGGAAGCCCATGAAGCGGCCCTTGACATCAAATATTTGCAGCAGCGACAGAAGATGCTTGTCCCAAATTATTAAGACCAGAGCATGCCAGAAGTTTATTGCATTCCCTTTTTTGGGCATCTCGCGGCTTTTTTCCAAACATGTGGACAGGACACTTGTGGGAACCCATTTTCAGGCGTCAAGCCGTTTGGTTCACCCATCACTCACCCATCACACTGGATGCGGTTTGCGCATCATGCTCTTTTTTCAGGACCGGACAGGACTTCACAAAGGCCTGGATGGAGAAGCATTGCAACTTCCTACTTCTCCCATCAGATGGCGCAATGACATCCTCCATCAGGCACTTGACGACTGCCGCCTCCAAGCTGGCCGCTGATGGCAATGGGAAGAATGTGTCTTTTGGCCGTCACTGGTAGTGAGTTACCCACTTCAAGTTAGTTTGGACCCGCATTCGAGTCTACTGTAGTCCTGCGGAAGCTGCACCACTCAACAGACGATTGTTTGACTCGTATCACGCCTGCGCGTTTTTTAGTTTTAGAGAAGAGTTTCAACTTGAGGTACATTTTGGCCTTGGTGGATGGGACCGTGTTGCCGGCAAATGCATCAGTGGTCCAGAATGCGTTGAATACCTTGGCAACCGTGCTCAGCTTGAGTGTGAACAACACTGGGCACGTGCAGCTGCCGGTGCCGCATACCAATACAACAGCCAGTGCCCTGCTGAAGCACCGCCGGACCATCGAAGATGGCCTCATGGCTGCTGACGTGGACGTGACGCAGACAGTGGCCTTGCAGTTCTCTCTGCCCCCGGATGCAAGGTCTTCTGACCGGAGGACAAGCATCCAGACCTGCATCTTTGCTGCTCCGGCTTCGGCTACGAAGCAGTCTGCTTGGACGCCGCCTTCTCTTATTGGGCCCCTCCCTTTGATCAAGTCAAGCGACATGATTGGCTATGATGCTGATGCCCGCCCTGGCCCTTCAGCCCGTACAGAACAGAATCTTGGCTTCGAGTGATCCCTGCCCTGACACACTAGTCTGACATTATTCTGTTTGATTTTTTTGGCATATACTGTGACATTCTTTCTGACAGGACATCATTTTTTAAGCATATATTTTGTACGTCTTTCTATCTGAAAGGCTTTCTGACATATATTCTGGCTTAGTTTTTCTTTCTGGCATTACCATACATTTTGTCATCATTGTGTTTAGCATTCTATGTGGCAAGTTGTTTGAATTGGTATTCTCTTTGCTATTCTCTTTGGCATGTGTTCAATTCTAGGTGGCCCCAGGCGCATCCAGGAGAGGCAAGTAATGAAGCAGTGAAGGAGTGAGGGAGAGAGAGAGAGAGAGAGGCACACCCCCTGCAGGCGGGGAATTAAGTCTAAGTTAAAAAGATGCAGTGCGTGTTAATTAGATTTAATTTGCTATTGCTGAGGAAGGGCCTTTCTGTCCACAATGGCATCCTTGATGCGTACTTGGATGGTTTGACCAAAGGCTCCGAAGACAATGTCATCATCTTTGACATTCTGCCCAACAGGTCTGGGTTTCAAAAACCTGAGGGTCAAGTCAACTTTGCACCCATGTTTTTTATTTCCTGTCATTGGTTTCGGCTCATCAGGTACGCAGAATTTGGACGTGCTGTTTGTGAGAGACTCTTGGCAGGCCGATCCCCATATGTCTCATACTTGGGATTGCTCAAGGAGCAGCAGAAGGACAACATCGTGGCAGTGGAGGAGATGGTGTACAATCATTGGGATGCCAGCCCTCAAGCCCCCGCCAAGCAACGCCCCAAGCAGGAACTGCAGACACCTTCTTTGTCGATCTTGTTGTGGCAGCGCAACAAGCCAGCGTTTCCGCAAAACCTTTTGGACAAGTTCGTGGAGGGGAGCGATCAGAAAGCAGAGGTTGACAGGATGAAGAAGGAGCTGGAATCCTTGTGGCCTACCGCTGGCACTGCAGATTCAGCTGCTTCTGTTGTTGCGCGAGCTGCTGGCAGCCCGGACTTTACTGGATCGACTGTTCTGGATTTGAAACGGGAAGTTGACCTTCCGAAGACCCCATCCAGCGTGTTCTCTGAGGACAAGTTCCTCGGCACTGTTTGTGTTTGATTGCGAGGAATTTTAGTGGCATACTTTGTGAAACAAAGCGCGCCGTTTTGGGACACGAGTAGTACTAATTTGTTTTTACTGGTCACGTGGGCAAGCCAGAATGACTATAGACACTTGACACAAGTTTGGCCCTTGTTCTTGCCAGCCTTGAAGTTCGTTGTTTGATTTAGCCAGCCTCTGTCGCAAATAGTTCCGCTGGCCTTTTGAAGCTTCAATTTTCTTTGTTTGTTTCGCACAGGTTGGCACTTTGCCCTGGGAAGCAGAACAGACCTGCCATCCTGGTGACAAAGAGCTTTGACATCTTTGTCGGAAACATGAACGCAGAGGGGATGGAAGTTCCGGCCGGCGAACTCTTTGGCTTTAATCTTGGATCTTTTGAGATGCGTATTTGCAAAGGCCGTGGTGCTTCGTGTTCTGTTGTCATGAATGCTTGCTGAGAGCTTTTACACCGTAATGTTTATTCTGTTTGAAGTGTGGCCTGCCACATCTAGGCAGAGATTTGCCACCTAAGGACACACGTTTGGGATCAAAATCAAAATTTATTCAGAAAGTCAGCTGCCAGGGGCTGGTGCCGACGAAGCCCACGTGCTCCCATGGCGCTTGGAATCAGACATGACGCTGGTTGCATTTGAAAAGGTGCCTATGCCGTTTTGTCAGTTCCTGTGCAAGATGGGGCAGGAGCGTGGCATCGCAGAGCTTGCAGTCTGGGACCACGAAGTTTCTCAGCGGATGGCCCCTGTTACTTGGCAATAATTAAAATACTTGTCCTTAACGTGGACTTTGCAACCATCTACATCCAGTAGTGTTTCCAAGTGCCCTAAACAGGCTCCGGCAGATTCGGGGAGCTCAGAGCCTGTGATGGTTCCGTGGCGGTATGACGTCAAGCCTGACCCATCTATGTCTACCAACTGCTTCAAGCCGAACGCCTTGGCAGGGAATTTCGACCACCAGGCTCACAAGCCAGCAACCCTCGGGTGTGTGTTTGCAGGGGCCATGAACAAAGTACCTCGCCAAGCCACGTGCAAACACGCTGCGTTGGTGTGGGAGGCGGGGCGACTGAAACTTGGAAGACATTTTGCTTATATACTCTACTACGTTGCATTCAGATATTATTAAAACAGTGCGAATAGAATCGTCTGAGCCTTATTACCTGTGTAATTTTCAAATTTTGTTGTCAGTTGCCTTCATCGTTTCTACCTTCCTCTCTTTATCCTTTTTGGTTGTCTTCTCTGCACAGTGCTGATCCTCTACGCTCCGTGCGCCTCTTGTTCTTGGCCCGCCCAAAAAAACCGTCCGTGCGATTCATGCTTGGTTAAAGTGATCTGACTGCTACAGTTTCAGATTTAAAAAATACCAGGAAGGGGCGGAAGACACCTTAAGCATTTTAGAATATATGCCAGGCTCTTGGATTAATATATGTATGGTTAATACCACAAACTTCCAAGGACGGGGATCACTCCAAGTGGATGTTTGCAGCCAGATCCATAAACGTGAAACTTAAATACCTTTAGTTTGCTATGCTCGCAAAGTAAGAGATACGACTAGTAGGCTTTGATTCCTTCCTTGCCTATAAACTTTGAGCGCATTTTTCCTTTCTTGGCACGCATGGTTCATATCATGTTTCGTTTCAAGCATGTGTGACTTGTAACCCATGCGCAGATTTCCTCCATGTTTACCACATTAAATTTATTTGGTTTTTGTTCGGACATTCAAATAAATAATTACAGGACTATTAAAAAAATCCATAGACAGAGGTAAGGGTTCCTTTTCTTGGTGCCATCATTCTTCATGCCCGTGCTCACTTGGACTCCATCTGTTTTCCAGTCTTGAATGCTGGAGCCCTTGGGGTTTCTTTCAGGTGCAAGTCCAAGCCGGAGGATCGATGCCAAAGGTCATGCCAACTAAGCCAAAGGTGTTCCTTACGGCGTCTATCCACTTGCCGCCATCAACTTGGGTGAAGCTGTGAGCCTAGGGTCCGAGATTTTTCCACGGATTCGGAAGCATTTTGTGTGGCTGGGTGCAAAGCTTTGAAAAAGGATTGCCATTTGGGCCCTTGAGTCGTATTCAGTAGGCTAACGCATTTACCAACAGTTCCTGATTAAATTGCATGCTCCAAAGCACCAGCCTGTTGGCCATATTCCGGATATGTTTTTCCACGACAGCTGCTGGCAGTTCAATGGTATCAGAGGCAGCAGCAGTTCAAAATGAATGCGCTGGCTGATAGTCTTAGCAGTTGGCATTCGTGCAACACATTGCCTTGGAGTTTAAATTTAGCAGGTTGGTAAGTCATCTTCAATTCATATGAAGTTTTAATGGGGTTTGGTTTCCAATAAAGCCTGAGCCTGACAGAATGCGCCGGCGTTTCAAGTGCCTTCAAACTCGCTGACAACTAACTGACCTGTCTGAATCTCATAATTTGCCTCAAACGATGGCAATTCTTCCTCCTGTCGAAGCTTTGAGTGGCTCTGAGCAGGACGACAAGGAGCAGCCTGAAGTGATTTTTTACTTTTTGTGTCGGACGTTTGGCCATGAGTTTTTTCTGTTACGCTCGGACTTGGGTTTCAAGGGCAACAAGAGGCGGCCCAATTGCCAGGAGACCCCTCCCAGAAACTTGAAGCGGCCAGCAGCATCGCCTGCTGCAAAGCAAAAGGGGAAATCGCAGAAAAAGGCAGAGAGTAAGAGTAGGACGTCCAGTGGCTCCAAGAAGAAAGCAAGCCCAAAGAAGACTCCGAAGGCTGCAGACAAGAGCCCCTTGGGTACCCCTCCTCAAGCTGAAGAATCTGAAGCACCTGCGTCGGCGTCGGACTCAGCCAACAAGTCAGGGAAGGCGATCATGAAGCGTCCAGCGGCTCTTCGTCGGCCTGCAAGTCTTTCGCCTTGAATGGTTGCTTCGATGGTGTGCATGCTGTGATGATCACATTGTGCCAATCATTGCTCAAGCCATTGTGTTTTTTTTGTTTCGCGCGGTGTGCAGGCTGCGCGCCGGCCAAAGAAGGAAATGGCGGTGGGGATGACAAGAAGAGTGAGCCTGAGTGCAAGATTTCTGCCATCTACTCCTACAACAAGCAGAACCGGTTTTGCTTCAAATTCGGCGGGCGTGAAATTTGCGCGCCCAAGCTGATTTTAATTTGTGAGCCGAGCTGTTGCAACACCCAATAAAATAGTCATAGCCTCGCCACCCATTTTCTTGAAAGCGTGTGTCTTTTTTTTGCTGCCCCAGTTTTTTGCCAATTCGTTGGGTAACTCATACTCAGATTGGCGGGGTGCGCTTGGACACGGCAAAGTGCCGGGAAGCTATTGTGCACCCCTCAGTGTAGACAGCTTGCCTTGTAAGCATCAGAATTGACCTTCCTCGCCCATGGATTTGGTGGGCTCTTACAAGACGATCATATTAGCATCAGAATTGACTTTCCTCGTCAGGGGATTGTTCGTGAACATGCTGAAAAAGGAGACGGCTTTGATTTCTGCAAAGAGTTGGCTGTTCTGGCCTCATTTTTTCTTGGCCATCCAGTGACGGCTAATTTTGGCAATTTTTTTGGCTTGCTTCCCAATGCGTGCCATTCAAGGCAACCTTGAAGGCCCAAGTCCCCGTCCAGCAGGATGAAGGCTTCCTGCTTATTGAATAAGCTTATTGTCTAGTGTTCAGAAACATGTTGGTCATTCATCTAGACTTAGGTTGGTCAACTACAGTCCATTTTAACGTGCAAGCTGTTGCTGCGTACAATGCATATTTGTACACACACATATATGTATAATATATATATATAATATATATACATATATTGTATATGTATATATATATACAAACATATATACATATACACAATATATATAATATTATATAATATGATATAATATAATATGATATAATTTAATTTAATATACTAAAACAAAATATAATATAATATTATATTATGTAATATAATAAATAATATAAAAATAACACAATACAATATAATATAATATAATAAAATATAATATAATATAATATAAGATATAATATAATATAATATAATATAATATAATATATAATATAATAATATATATATAGATAAATAATATAATACCATATCATACAATAAATGTAATATAATGTATAATAATATATAATATAATGTAATATAATATAATATAATACAATATAATACAATATAATATAATATAATATAATATAATATATTATAATAATATCATATAATGTAATGTAATACAATGTATGATAATATATAATATATAATATTATATATAACATAATATAACATAATATAACATAATGTAATTTAATAAAATAGATATAATATAATAATCTCTATAGAATATTTACAACATATATAGTTTATATAATAATATCAAAAAATGCATAATAATATGTATTATATTATAATATGTAGAAACATATTATATATAATATATTATTTATATAATGTTTATAATATAGATCATCTTTAAATTATGTATAATAGATATTTTTTTAGAATAAATATAAATATAATAATAAAATAAATATATAATATATATATATATATATTATATTATATTTTATATCTTAATATATGTTCTCGGACCTGCCAGGAGGTGACGCAACCGCAAAGGGTGACGCTGATGATGACGAAGTCGCAGCAGCCGAGAATGCTGATGAGGAACATGGGGAAGAAGAAGCGGCAGAAGCTGACCCTGAGGTTGAAGCCAAAGGTAGCGGTGGCGAAGATGTAGACTAGATGGCTTACTTGTGGCACTTGCGGTCGCGGTGAAAAACGGATTGCCTAGCTGACTTGAACTTGACAAGTGATTTTTTTTGCCACGGGGCCTCTTAGCGGTTCCATCTATTATCTTGGCCCATTGCTTGGGCAATGCTTAAAACATTTGCCAGTTAACTTGCTCAAATGTTTTATAACGGGATTTCCAGCCATGGCTGGGTGATGGCAACGGCCCTGTAAGGTATCGCCGTTCAGGTACCACAAATTCATTTCTCCATTAAATCAGAGCCGTTTGGGGGTATGCCGTACGCAATTTTCAGCCACCCAAGTTTGAAGGGCCACGTGTAGGACAGGATCAGTTTGATTCTTTCAATATCCAACAAGTTGCAGCAATTTTTCATTTGATTTCAATTTTGGCGCGAGGCATGGCTCATTGGGGCGCAATGAAAATCATGACATTTCATGCAAATTAGTTATTATCAGGATGCGGCTGTGCCAAAATAAGAAACCAGACACATTACCTTCTGTGTCGCAATCCTACTTGAAATTGTTCCACTGGTAATGGTGAAACACCGGAGGGGGGCAACCATATGCGATCAGTCATTTGTTTTGAGTTCTGGGGAAAATCAAGGTTACAGTTGAAATTAGAATGTGGGGATCATCATCACATGGCCAATCATCATCATATTATTACTGTTATTTATTATTATTACTATTACTATTATCATTATTAATTATTATTATTTATTTTTATTATCATCATCAGCATTGATTCACGCCAGGGTAGGGTTCTGGGAAGCTGGGCCCTTTACTTGTTGCAAGAAGTATTCACACACTAGGAACCATTTGGTCTGAGTCTGGCATATATTCTGACAAGCTGACATATTTTCTCTGATGCCCACGTTTGACACACACTCTGACATCATTCTTGGCGGTCAGTATCCAACATACAGTCTGACATATACTCTGAGATCATTTGATCTGACATTTGGCGCTTTCTATCTGGCAGTCTAGTAGATATTCTGCCATGCTGATGGCTTTTTTAAGCACCAGCAAATGGGAACCCCATTCATTTTGGGAACCCCAATAGAAGGAAAATTCTTTAGAAGCTGGTCAAGCGTGGGATTGAATTGGCCGCGGACGCCCGCGAGCGCTATCCTGATGCACGCATCAACCTGCATTTGTCCTGGTTCGGAAATGAATTGGTAGGAGAGGATGGGATTGCCCAAAATCCAAATTGGCCGTACGACGGCCCCAACGGGCACTGGCCCACGATCTTGGATGATTGTGAGCGCCACTTGACATGGTTTGTCAACAAGGCCCGGGAGTTGGATTTGCAGTCGGCCGGTCTCACGACCGCGCCTTGGAGCGCAGATTATGGCATCCATCCTATCTTTGACCAGTTCTTTGATGTTTTGGAGCCTCGATTTAAAGCTCTAACCAGCAGCCTGCAAGGGCTTGCCAATCCGAAGTATCCGTGGCTGAGAGCAAAGGGGTACGCCGATGCAATGGAATTCAGAGACCAGTGGCATTTCGCCAACTCTGAAGAAAATCGCACGCGTCTTGCTGCCTATTGGACAGCTACCCTTTTCGCAATTGATTGCGGATGGCGGGTTGGCCGAATTGGTTTGGAGCTTACTCAGTGTGGCCAGGAAACATGGGATGATTTGCGGAGGAACATGAGCGCCGTCCTGGACGAGCTGCCAAGATCCTATCAGGAGACATGTGCAAACATCACCAAGTTGCTTTTTGGAGAGTCCCGAAGACACATCACGCCGACGGGCAGGTCATTCACCAAGGAGGACGTCGAAGCTCAACAACCTGACACTGAGGACTACATCGACACCAAGACGATGCCTTCGGGCACTTTTGCTGAGCCTCCCAAAGATGACCCTCCAAAGGCCGCCGGCGACGGCGAGCCCGCTGCATCCAGCAGAGCAACAATCCTGGTCCAAACGGCTGAGGTCATGTTGAAGTCGCGGCCGAAAGCAGCACCAGCACCATTGGATGAGCCCGCAGATGACAAGAGAGCCACATCCAGCCAGTACCAGCCGCAGGCAACTGCGCGCTTAGAGGGACATGCATCCGGCCACGTGAAAGCATATTGGATGGAAGAGCATTTGCCTGAATACCAATATACAATGGTGACCAATGCAGACGGGGACGATGTGCCCGGTATCCTCTTTGAAGGTACGGCGTATGAGCTGGAGCTGATATCGGCATCCGACGTTGAGACCATTGCTGGCCAGACTCGTGTCGACAAGAAATTTTCTGATTTTGCAACTCGTGTCAACAAAGTTTGCAGGGGGCATGGATCCTGTGCCAAGGTGCCAATGGACAAAGACCTTTGGATTGACTTGGAGGATTTTGCCAAAGCCTTCCGCAAGGAAGTGCCCCCAGATGTTTTCATCACTGTCGCAAACCTGTTTGGCACCGCAATGAAGATCGACAAGCATGGCAAGAGTAGGTTCCAATTCTTGTGTGCAAAGATCTCCCATTTTCCTGTCGACAATGGCCTAGGCATGCCGTATTATCCTGTGAAAATCCGTGCAATTCAGGGTCACTCCGAAGCTGCCTTGAAAACCGCAGGGGGTCTTTATGCCAATTCAACCATGGTGTATTGCTCAAACCAAGTATCCCCCGAGCGAAAAGCCGCCTTCACTGGCGTGCCCCTGTGTGCCATGACTGAGGTCCCTGAGGTTGTCTTCCATCGCACGATGAGAAGCAGCTGGAAGAGCATCGCACAGAACGGCCTGATCCCAGGCGGCGGTGACACAGTCAACAGTGGCCGTGCTCATATCTACATGGCAGAACACTGTATCGGCACACAGGGGTATCGATCTGGATTAAGAGCAAAATGTCCAGTCGAAGTCAAAATCGCGATGCGGCAAGCAGTTGAAGCTGGTGTCATCTTTAGTCGCACAGAAATGGATGGTATTTTGTGTTCAGAACGCATTCCACCGCAGTTTCTGGTCAGCATCTCAGAAGAAGGACAGGTGCTTTGGTCCCGCGCCGAGAGCAATCTCGAGCCCAGCTCATGGACAGGCGCGGGATCAGCCTCAGCACCGAAATCCAAAGCGGTCACCCTGACTGCCCGAGATGATGCAAACGACGACCCAATGGATGACACCAGCACGGGGCGACCCGATGCCAAGTCCACTGATGATGATGCAGCCACTGCCCCAATGCAAGTTGACCAGCCGCCCGCAAGGACGCGCCGTGTTTACATTGCACCCAAGTACTGCGAACCTTTCATGGGCTCCTGCCCCCTCTGCCAGGTTGAGTACGTCAGTGGCCAAGTGACATGCACCACATGTGGATATGAACCACTCCCAGTGGACGAAAGTGGCGATACAAAAGAGGCCGACAAACCCAACAGGAGGACCCGCATCCTTGAACGGCGAATGCAAAGTCTCGCCGGGTTCGGAATGTTTGGGAAAATGAGCGGAAGCTTGCTGACAGCCTTGACGGATGAGCAAGCCAATCTGCTTCGCCGGGAACTGGGCCCCAGGGGAATCACATCCGTGGAATCAGCAGTCCTCAAAGACTGCCGCGACAGGCATCGACGTGCAAAAGCGCTGGGCTACGAGGACGTGGAAGACAGATACTCCAGCGACGTCACCTTTTGCGACCGCATCCACGGTGAGGGGAAGGACCTGCAGGACTGCATATTCGACGACATGTTCGCATATGGCAACCTCCCCGATCTCCCAAGGACCAAAGCTCAGATCTCGGCTGGCGTCGCCGCCAATGCCCAAAATGAAAACTGCTTATCTAAGTTGATTTTCATGTCCCAGCCTCGAGGTGTTGATGGTTTCCCAGTTGAGTTCCGCAAAACATGGAAGAAGGTCTGGGGATTCATGTTCGGCCGCCACATTTTTACAGAGGATGAATATGTCAGCTACATCGGTCGTCGTGGCGCATTCCGTGGCCTGTTGACCTGGAAGGGCACTGTCCAAGTTCCTTTTGATGGCACTCTTGAATTCCTCGAAAAGGTGTATGAGGAAAATCTTCCATTGGTTCGGGGAAACCTTGAACGCAAAGAGAAGCAGAGCGCCGCTGCAAAGGCTGGAGGTCCTGGAGGTCATAAGGCCGACCCCACGGTCGCGCCCACCACTGAGCGAAAACGCAAAGCCGAAGCTGATGCATCCGTCACCACACATGATGACACTGCCGCCTCAAGCTCTGCTCGCGCAGATGCCTCGCACGCTGATGCCCCAGTTGATCCCAACAATGCACCATTTCTTGCACCCGAACCACCAACATCCAAAGCAGGAGCACGACCATTCTTGGAGCCTGAGACACCGCCCACTGCAAAAGCAGCAAGCACAGTCACATCGAAGGCTGCAAGCTCCGGTCGCCCGGATGCCTCTTGGAGTTGGAATCGTGATCACTATGGTGCACGCCGAGAATGGAGTTTCTGGCGTGGGGCTTGGTATTACCGTGACGAGGCCGGCGGCCGGTGGATCTATTGGAACCGCAGGTAGACGATGATTTTCTTTTGTAGCATAGCGCAAGATGCGGCATGGTAATGTGCCTTCCTTGCAAAGCTGCGCTGGGTTTTACGGGCTTGAGCTTTTTATAGGGACCTTTGAAAGACTGCATAAAATGTCCAAAACCAAACAAACAGATTTGGCTACCCGCGAGGGTATGCTCTTCTGGGTTATTCGTTCTCCGCAGTCGTCCCTGCTCGCCCGAGGGGGGTGTAAAAACTCCTGCAGTAAAACCATGTAGTGTATATATCATCGATCTACTCTGTAGCGTTGGTTCAAAACACCCCATTGTCGGTTGACCTGGTAAAATACAGAATTAGAATAGTTTTGTTGCTTTTAAGATAGTCACTGCACACGGGAGAGGGGTCAGTTGCCTCTCCCCTGTGCACTCCTGAGCACTCCTGAGCGCTCCGGACTGCACACCAGCTCACTGGTACTATCTTAAGAGCAGCTTTAAACAAATCAAAGCTGTGCAATCAAAAATCCATGACCCAAGGTTTGGTGGGGAGAGGCGGCGTGCACTCCTGAGCGCTCCCCCTCTCCCGTGTGCAGTGACTATCTTAAGAGCAGCTACATACCACTCTTGACTAATTTCTGCATTTTCAAAGGTTTGAGCAGTGGTGGATTTGATAGTGTGACACGAGAGTTGAACAATCATCGGCTTATTACCCCATAGGCTGTTTCGGGTATTATGACGGATTTTGTTCTCGGGGGAATGGTCATCATTTCCGGTAAGACAGAGTCTAACAATAATGATCATAACAACGATTATTAAAACCCATGGTAAAAGCCTGTCATGCCAATCCAACCCATGTGCTGGTACTCTTGGACTATGTTAAGCACAGCTCAATGTATGTTGATACTTCGGTTTTTGACCGGTGGAAGTCTGTCTTGCTTTCCCCTTTGTTTTTCCCATGCTTTTGAAACCAGATGTTCTGTTTGATTGGGCCGCACAGTCCGGTCTTCACGTTTCAATGGGATTGTCTTGCAGACAGAGTTTGCTTTTAAACTTTAGATGAGACCCACAGAGACCAGAGGAAAACCATGGTAGGAAAACAGTTCGCTTTATATATTATATATAATCTTATGCAATAACATGCAATAACATCAGCATTTCATAAGTTCATTGACTTGCTTCATATAAGCCTCACTCAAAGCCGCGGAAAGACCAGGGAATCTGTAGACTGTGTAGATGAAACCAAGGCACGGTTTTCCCCTTCCATGATCCCATGGCGCTGAGGCGATGGTGAGATCACTCTAACTGCCACGTGGCGCTTAAGATTAGCCATGTCGAGCTGGGGAAGTGTTAGATATTTTTTTAGGGTTATAGAGGATATAGGGTTATTAAGAGGCATGTGCACACACACACACTAGAGGCAGACACACATGGCACATAGACAAATCTGAAATACGTATCACGATGTATTACAGTAATAATTATATTGTATACATGACATATATAGCATATAGAATGGTATAGAGTAAAACATGTACTGAATTAAAGCATACATATGAAAAATACATGTTTACGGTTTGGATTTGTTTGGCGCTTTGTCATCATCATTCATCATGTATATCTATACATTTATTTCATATCAACTCTTACTGTTTGCCACATCATGTGGTAATTCTAATTTCGCCGTTCCATGCAGAATTCACAGGGTCCTCCCGTCGGCAAAGGCCATAACATGTCCGTATACATTTGGAGTTCGTCATAGAGAAGTCCAGCAGACGAATCACCATGAATTGGAGTTGTTCCCTTCATGATCGTTTTGGAACTCATAGCTGGTTGGTGGTTTGGAACATGGTTTTTATGATATTCCATTCAGTTGGGAATGTCATCATTCCAACTGCCGAACTCATATTTTTCAGAGGGGTAGGTATACCACCAACCAGATAGGCTATTTTCTTTTTTTTCTCACTATTGAAAAAAGGTCCATCAAAATTCAGCTTTGGGTATTGCAAACTTTGCCCCTCGCGCTCCAGCCATGCAATGACTATTTTTCTGGACCTGACCCCTCTCAAAATGCTGAGCATTGGTTTTGGGGCAACTGCAGCGGAACCAGGGATGAGGAAAATTTGTGATAGAAGTAGTTTCGATGCGAATCCACCAGTGTGGTAATCAAACCTAGGAAAATGCTGGAAAATCCACCAGCAATAGTTCTTTTTTTTTTGCTGGAGGCCTCCATCGAGTTCGGGGATTTCCCTTGCCACGCCACGAGGAATTCATCGAGGGCGCAGCCAGATTGCGCGGTGGAGCAAAAGCCCTGGATATTTGGCGGATGGTTCCTTGGAATTGCTTGGAACTGAGGAAGTTGACTAAGGTTGACTGGTGGTTATGGGTGGTTTCTCATTGTTTCGATTTAGACTGAGCTTTGACCCGGTAAGGGTAATTTCATGTCGTTTTTTCCCCCATGAAGTATATGATTATGTGATTACTTCTGTTGCTTTAGCTGATGTCACAACCCCTTCACCTGCCCCATACAATTTAACAAGGGCCCTGTCACCATTGTTTTTGTTGGTTTACCTGCCAAGCTGGGAAAAAAATGGCCTGGGGGGTCGCCGTGTTTCCATGGTCCAGGGTTGGGCGCTGGGGTGGAATTTGTACCCTGACCAAAAAAAGGCCTGCGAATACTTCATCCTGCTTTCAGCTAGTCACGACTCCTCGTGATCTTAGGCCCTTGGCTCCTGGCTTTGCATTCCATGTTTTTCAGATGGTGAATTTGTTTGCTAAATATGTACATAGGTGTTCTTGAAATTGAGCTCCCCCAAATCCATCCAAATCCCTTGGTTCCCCGCCATTCAGCATCACCCATTTCGGATGTTGGGAATTTTTATTTCCCACCCCTCCACTTCAAGCGCCCATTTAAATTTGCACTATGAATGTGGGCCCAGGAAACGAAATTGGAGGTTCTGTTTGAGGAGGTCTTGAACATCCTCAAGGCGACCAAATTTGGAGTGGCATCGAAAGGTCTCCATTCACAAAACTATGAAGAAATGATGGTGAATTTGTGGGAAAGATTTTCCATACCTGAAAATTACCAAGGGGGATCCAAGGGGTAGTAAGGCTTTCTCATGTGCAAACAACTGCTCAGACTGCTCAGACCTTTCCCCCATCAATCAACCATCCTTTTTTGGGCTCTCAGACTGGAATGCCTCTGTGTTGGGCATATGTTCCGAACATTATTGGCACTGGGAGCTAATTCCGCAAGGCTTTCTCGAAGCGATCGCACAAATTACCTTCTCCAGATTCAACATCCATGTCAATGATGGTTCGTTGTTTGGCCAGTTTTTGAAGCCAAGGTGGGGTGCTTCTTATTCCCGAGTTTATTTTTCCCCGAGTCGCTTGGAAGTCTTTCATAGCTATCCCTTTGAATGATTTTCCCAACCTGCAATAGAGACCACCTGGTACCGTACTGGTGCCTTATGAGCCTGCTACGCCCTGGTGGTACTGGGATTTGTGAAGTTAGTCCGTGGTCAATGGCTGATCCCTAGAATGAACGGATAATTAGGCAACTTCAGTTGGATCAGCCGGTGGACGCAGCGCATACCATGGAGAGTGTCATGATCAAAGCTGTCTTCGGTTGGGGTTTTTCATCCAGGATGTTGAGCAAAGCTATAGTATTTCAACCACATCACCATTCAGCAAATTTGGGGCTTGATTTTCTGGCCACAATCCTCTGTTCTGGTGGGAGCATGACCCTGATGTACAGGTTTCACCGGGACCAACATTTTCGTTGCTATGGCGGTGATTTATCAACCGGGCTACCTACAAGAACCTAGTTGCGCAACTGAGAATGTGCTCTATCCTTACTAGATGAAGCGACTTCGCCTACCGACAAGTTACTGACTAAGTCCATGGGATGAGAAAACCGCAGCCTCTCGGGATGAGTTGCTCAAGGTCCGAAGGAGGCCCCCATGATGTTTGCAGCACGCCATGAACTCGGAGCTCCGGCTTCAGCATGTCACTGCCTGGGTCAATTTTAATGAAACATTCTGTTGGTATATGTTTATGTTTGTTTTTATCTTTCTGGGTTCATTGGACTTGGACAATGGATCCAGGTGTCTCCCTGGTTTTGCTAGTACCTGATCCATGGAACTAGGCGTTTTGCGTTGAAATCTTTCATGAATACCTCTATATATAGTTATTTAATGCTATTTATTATGTATAAATGTATATATACAATTATTTAGTGATATATAGTGCATATATCTCCATATATATAATCCATTAAAAATCCTAGGTTTCAGGTGTACATTGGCCCTAGCGGGATAATTCACTCCCAAAATCCGTGATGCTTGTGGTTTGAAGGTAGGTAGGAACTATCTAATTTGCCAGGAGGTCTTGATTCTTCCATCTTCCGGTTCTATCACCATGTCCTAAAATGGGGGTGCCCCTAAATCATTTAGTTTAACAACAGTTTTCCTTAATAAATTTATAAACCATCCATTTGGGGGTACCCTCTGGTAAACGTTTACATAGCAATGGAAAGATCCGCCATTTGAAAATGGGAAAATCCACTGTTTCTATGGCTATTTTCAATAGCTATGTTAGTCATAACCAGAGGGTACCACCATGACTATGGAAACCCCATCTTTGACCCCTGGGATGTTCACCCCTCACGCCAGGTTCTGAAGGTGAACCAACATAAAGGCGGCGGCAGCCGCAGGACGGCGGGCAGAAAACTTGTTCGTTGAGACGCCGACCCGGCCTGGTAAACATACAAAAAGCTATTGAAAATGGATGAAAATGGCAATTTATAGTGGATTTACCCATTGAAAATGGTGGATCTTGCCATAGTTATGTAAACGTTTACCAGAGGTAGTTTTCAAATCTGGATGAACGTGCAGAATGGGGCCCCCAGTAGCGTTCAGTTGCCTGAAAAAACGTTTATGGTAGATATAACGAACTAGTTAATGGTGGTTCTAATGGTTTATAAACCGGGGGGGCCCATCCTGTGGAGATATCACGGGATATCCGACAACCAGCTTTTTTGAGGGAACATGATGATTCTCCTTTTTTTTTCCGGCACATACGGGGTACCCAATTTTCAGCCAAAGCCATGTCGGATGAGAATGGGTAAGAGATTTTAATTATATATGTCTTTCTTGACGTGCATTTTTAGAAGCAAACAACCCCTGTAACAAGGACTTACAGCCTGTAAGTCCTAAGACCGTACTAAATGAGTCCTTAGGAAAAGCGAAGAAAAAGGGGTCCTCGCCGAGAAACCATAGCAATGCCGAGGATCTACGGCCGAGTGTTTATAGCCACTATATAATGGAACTGGGTTCTACGGCCGAGGGATTGTAGCAATATCAAGGGTTCTACGGCCGAGGGTTTACAGCAAGGTGGAGAACGGGCGGGACACAAACGTCCGCAAGCAATGTTCACTGACGATTCACTCACGATATACTCACGATTTCTCGCGATTTTTTAGCCGCTATGTGTACCTTTTAGGGCCTTTACGTACCTTTTAGATCCTTTTAGGGCCCTTCCTGCTCGCAATTACTCACGATTACTCACGATTAAGGATGCTATGTATCAATGTTCCTTTTTGAGGTCGGTGTTTACAGGACCTCAAAAGGTACATTGAACGGGTGTTTATCAGGTACATCATGATGTCAATGAAGAATCATACATGGACGTACTTTTTTTGGTCCACTTTCTACGGATTTTTTGAGTCCTTGGACTTTCAGGGAACATTTCTGGATGCTTTGGGTGCAGAAATGGTGGATTTGACCAGCCGAAACTGTGATTTGGGGATATGATGGGGGCATCATGGAAGATATTCAGCCATATGATATGGATGTGTCATGATGTGTCCTATGGAGAGCCCAAGATGCTACTTTCCAGATGAGAAATCTTTCAAATTGGCATCAAATTGCGAGCCAAATGGCGGTTTAAGTATGAAAAACAGGGATTTCATCAATATTAGAAATGGACATACTGACATACTGTGGATGATTCATAAATCCTGCACCAGTTTAGGTAGTTTTCAAGCTATGAAATACCCCATAAATCAAAATAATGGGACGATATCGGGATAAACCATCTACCAACTGGTGCAGGATGTTTCCATCCACTGTCTGTCTTTTCTTCCATAGGCAACTCTTCTGGGAGATCACCTGACTCGTTATCTACCGGTTTTCCATGGGGTGAAATGATCCATTTCAAAAAAAACGGATCCCTGGTTGAAGACAATTTCCAAATCGTAAAGTTCGGTACTGCGAGTTTTTTTAAACCCCAAAGTGAGTTTACCATACGGTCTATGAAGTTGGTTGGGCCAACTATGGGCTGATCTACAAACCATAAACCAGCCTTAGCGTCGTTAAAAGCCCACTTTGGGAAACTGCTAAACTACCAGACGTCGCCACTTTTTGAAACAAGACCCACATTATTGTTGGAGGTAAAATCATGTTATGCGTTGTTTTTTCTTTTTGCAGCTTAAATTCACATTAATGCTTGATGCTAAAAAACTCCCATGATTGCTGGTTGAATCAGTTCCCATAGGATCCATGTATGCTATATATGGTAACATTTACCATCAATATACCCCAAATGTTAGCATATATACCAGCACCAATGGATCCTATGGGGTTGAATCACCTTTTTTTTCGCAAGCGCATCATAGCGCATCATTTGATGCATCCGACGTCAGGACCAGTGTAACTTCGGCCAAGGAGCATGAGGGCGATGATTCCATCACGGCCACGGAGTCCATTGTGCAGGACGGCTGTTTAGGACTTGGCCCCCGGGAAAGGCCAGAGAGGCCAGCTATAAATTTACCATGGGAAATCAATGGAAATCAGCTGTAAATGGGTCAATAGATGTCCCAAATTCCCATTGGTTGATGAAAATAGAGGGGTTTCTGAACAGAAACCCCTGAAAAAGAACAGGTTTCTATGATGATAGGTGGGATTAACCAGCTCCCGGCCCCTCTATTTTTACCAAAAGGACATTGTTATGGGCCATTGGTCCATGGCTTCCACATTTTTGTTGATGGGTGGACCATGGTGGACCGCTGAAAACATATGAACTGGCTACTGTGAATCAGCATCTTTGATAGGTAATTATCAGTATAAACGGACTATTTTCTATAGCAAACTGTAAAATGACTGGAGCAATGAGAAATACTCCAATACATGGAGGTACTAATGGGAAGATCATGTATAAATGGTGGATATGCCATTGCCATATTTGATTACCAGTGGGTTTAAGTCAAAAGCAATGGGATTTACCCTCCAGTGAATAAACAGTTTGACCTATAATTGAGAATGACAATTTTGGTGGAATCCATTCCCCCCCAAAAAAGGCGGAACTTCGAACCCTGACAACAACCATTGGAACGCCAAGGCAATTGGGGTTGGAAGATTCCTATTTTCGGACAGATCGTTAGAAAACTTCATTCTTGGGGAGGTTCCATATCTGAAGGACTTGCTAGAAATGATCCTGAAGAATTTACCAGATATGAGCCAAATATGTTGGACAGATCATAGAAGGAGGAGATTAGACCAACAACACATGGGAGTGTCCCTAACAAACCTGGTGTTCAAGCAGGATCATAAGCCCGTTTTTGCACGCATTGTCCACGTAGTGTCAGCTCGGGTTTAAGAAATGTTCATTGATTCATTTGAGGGTGCTGCAATGGGAATTATCACAACCTAGCTGGTTGGTGGTTTGGAACCATGGACTTTTATGACTTTCCCATCATATTGGGAATATCATCATCCCAAACTGACGAAGTCCATCATTTTTCAGAGGGGTTAGCAGCAACCACCAACCAGCTTTCTGATCTGGGAGATTCGCGGAGGTCAGACTGCATATTGCAAAATCAAGATTGGGCCATGTTTTAGTGGGCCAAGAACCGTCCTTACCAGTCAGCTCTTCACATCTCTTCATTACATTTGAACAACCATCAGGTTTTAGTTATGCTGAGGTATTGGATCATCCAAGCCTGAAGTTGCTTTATAGATGGGTTGTAACCGGGCCATGTATCAGAAGAATTTGGAAGATATGTCAGGTAGTAGGTGACTCCAACTCACGTGCAAACTTTGGAGATCACGCTAATAGCAGGACATAGTAGGACGGAGCATCAGCATCTATAGAACTCAGATGCGGTTCAAAGCTATCGTAAGGGTAAGTCGCTTAGCTGTGTTCATGCCGTTTACGTTTACAGTAATTACAATTATATACAATATATATATATGTGTGTGTGTGTATGTATGTATATATGTATGTGTGTGTGCTGTTTTTTAATGATAAATGTGGGCAATTGATAATGATCACAAACGATGGTACGGGGTCCAGAGAAGTGGATTTGCAGGTTTTTCTGTCGCCAGGATGTTTTCAACAACTCGTTGCACAAGCACATCCAAAGCACCTCGCGAAACAGGCGGGAGTCTCCATGGTCGATTCGTCAATTTTACTGAGAGTTTAACCTGACCTTAATTAGTCAACCACCAGTTGAAGCTATGATAGTGGGGGGGGGTACCATTTTGGATCTGAATTTCTGAATTTTATCACTATTTTGGGGGTTATATCATGTTATATCCCTCAATTAATCAACGGAATTGATTCATCCGAGGGGTTGGCGATATCCTTGACATTCCAAGTGCCCAAGTGCTGCAATGTGGTGCCCCTCAGTTGTAAGTTGGTTTAGATTCACCCCATGAACTAGTTCGTTACTAGTTATATCTACATATATCTACCATAAACCATAGTGAAATTGGAGTTATTAGTTCACCCCAACTTAGCGTTCACGAACTGGGACCATGGGGCACCACCGACCGTATCTCTTCGTATCGCTCCACCGAAGTGTTATTGGGGTTTCCAGTCCCACGGGGGATCCTTGGGGATCATCAGATAGTTCCCTCAGCGTTCCAAGGTTTTTAGACACCCAAATGATCTTGTTGGATATAGCTGGTTAATGCTGGTTATATCGGAATATCATATGGGGATATATGGGGATGGGTAAAAACCCTATCCCCCTGGTGAACATCAAAATAGCTGGTAAATGGATGTTCATCCCCCTAAAAATGGTATGTATAGGTATTGATCCATAGCCATATATATATAATATATATAGATATAGATATAACCCACATGATTTTGTTTGCCCTCAGTATATTTAAATTAAAGATTGCCACCTCATATCCCCATGAAATGATGGTTCTATTGACAATCGCAGTCCGATGTTTCAAGGATTGGGTGAAATTTCCCGTAAGTCTGCTGCGAAACCAATCGATTGAATTTCTGGAGATGGATCAAACACCATCAAACACCTATCAAAAAAACATAAAAAAAAAAACATGTTTGGACTATATTTCGATGGAGATGAACCTCCATGTCTTCATCAATTTTGGTGTGGTACTTAGATTGAGACCAGCCGCACCCAATGCGTGCCCCTCGGCATGGCTCCCGTGTGCCAGGCAACGCAGTCCGTGAGAGGCCGCGTGCTTCGGCGTTCCCGGAGTTCCAATGGGTGCTGGAACTCGTGAGCTCTCTTTTTTTTAAGGTGGTGGATTGTGGCGGTGCCTTCCAGTAGTCAAGTTACCTCAGCAAATGATGATGATATGGGTATGGATCAATACCTATTAATACCATTTTTAGTGGGATGAACATCCATTTACCAGCTATTTTGATGTTCACCAGGGGGGGTACAAGGTTTTGACACACTGCCATATATCATGATATGATAGGGACCTCCTTCCTGGCCAAAATCAAGCAGAAAATGGGGATATATGTGCGCGTGTGAGCATATCCAAATGACGCAGGCATATTATATATATATACATATGTTGAACATCGTGTATGGATACTAATGTTGACTTCACGTTACTAATGTGTGTATAAGTGCTGTTTCCCATTTGATACATGAAGGTCCACGTGATCAAGAACGGAAGGGTGAATCTGTCCTCAAACGCCGTATGTTTCTGGTGCCATTGTGGTCAGCTGGCGTTCAAAGCGTTCAGCGTCAGTCCGTGACGTCACATATGGCACCAGGTTTTGTGCTGACAGCTGCCAAAGCCGGACATGATGGACAAGCATTTTGCTCACAAAGACCCACAAAGCACCTAGTAGTGTTCAGCGTTTGCAAAAATTGGCACCCCGGAATTTTGAACCATGTCCGCTGCTAAAGCCCTCTTTTTCACACCCACATGTTCCTTCTTTTTGGGTGCTTGTTCCATCTTGTAAATACCTGGGTGTCCCATTTCCAGTGTGTTTTAGGCAGACGGATGTCTATTTGTGAAATGGATGCGTTTTCCTGTTCTTTGAGGCAGGTTCAAACTTCAAACCATCGGCCAGCCCTTTAGTGCCTCGTTGATCCTCGAAGTGACATGGCCGCTGTCCAAAAATGTCCTCCCGAAGGGGTTTGGCCAGTTGTGGCGTGCTTCGGATGTGGCAACAGAAAGGTCAAACATGAGTCAAGAAGGGTCCACAGCGTCTTCCAGCCATCTACAATTGCAAATGGATAGGCTGGACAGATCTGGACAGATTGTTACAGTAATCCAGTTGTAATCTGGGTATGGGTCAATACCTATAGATGCATTTTTAGTGGGATGAACATCCATTTACCAGCTATTTTGGGGTTCACCAGGGGTACCAGGGTTTTGACCCATCCCCATATTTTCACCGGTTGCATGATATAATCATGAAATTCCCATATCATCGACGGACTGTCTCCGTCCGAATCAAGCCAGGTTGCGTATCCCTGCGAGCGTCATTTTTTTCGGGGCCGGATGGTGATTCCTGAAACAATCTGAAACACTGCACGATGGTAGGGCTTCAACAGATTTTAACCACATGTGGTTTGGTAATGTTTGGTAAAAGTTGATGTTCATGGCAAATTCAATTTGGGTAATGTTTGGTAATGTTTTGGTAAAAACTGTTCCAAGACTTCTGGTTGCCAGAAGGCTTCAGGATATCCACGAATTGTATGCGATTCCACGGCTGTCGCCGTTGAAAACGACGACGTTGAACCCCCCGAGCTCGTCGACATGATGTCAAGTTCGTCTCGAAAAAAGCTGTGCTCACTGCCGAACTGCGGCCAGCCGTTGCAAGAGAAGCACAGCTTGCTGATTTCAATATTTTTGAAAACTCTATATCAATGCCCGGATGGTGGTTTTGACATGTTTTGACTAGCGATGTTACAGGAGCTGAAGAGCCCAGATATCTGAGCCAAAATTACTGGCTAGTTTAGGTCATTGTGGTAGGCCCATAGTCCATCGTAATGAATCATCCACGTCCAATTTTACCATTGCGATCCATGTTGGCGTTGTTAGAAAAGGTGTGTGTTTTTTTTTGTCCTCAATATTGATTTGGAGTAGTTTTCAAGATTGGTTTCTAGCACATGTTTGATTCTTGTGGCACGTTCCTTTTGATCTGTTGATACTTTTTTGGGGAAAGCTGAGGTGCCAAAGGACTGAAGACATGACAGTTGCGAGTCAAAACACCAACCAGGTGGTGCCTTTTCAATGTCACCCTTGAAATTTTCACCTGGAAGCCTATTAAGTGCCAGTTTCGCAGAAAAAAGTGGATGAGGATTATTAAAGAAAACATCCCGATGGCCTTACTATTGTGTGGATTGTGTGGGGAGGTTACCTTTGCTTCTAGGCTTGTTGGGGAAGCGCGTGCACCTCCGTGCCTCCACTTCCTTCCTGTGCCTTTGAAAAGCGAATCCCCCTGAAAGTAAACCTCCAATGGCTCGCATGTGTTTTTTGTATGTTTTTGTTCCACATCTTTCCCTGCAGTTGTCTCCGGCCCCTCAAGTCCCCATTTCCCCATGTCCTCTGTCCCTTCAGTGGTCAAATGTCTTTGCAAGTGATCTTGCTGTGCAAGTGAGCCACCTCCTCATTTTTGAATCTTAAGAGTTCCATCATTCATGATCAATCCTCCATTCTCTGGGTCCAGGTGGGTTTCAGCCAGCTACAGACAGGGTGTCATGAATTTTGCAGGGTAGTGATTCTTGAAGCCTTGCCGACCGGACGAAAACCCGAAGGCGTTCATCCTCCACAGGCGCCGACAGGAGGCGATGCTCGGCACATGAGATACTGGTTTTTCGGGATGCTAATGCATCTCAGATCGACGAGATGCTAATGCATCTCAGATCGAAACGCCGGAAACCTAGAGAGTTCCTATGAAATGATGAAAGATCATTTAGTACATCCTGGAAACAATTAAATTATATAGTTGTTTGTTTTTTACATGCAATCTCCTGTGCATAGTTCATCATATATAGTTCCTACCAGGTCATAGGTCTCAATTGCCCAAGATATAGTTAGTATCTCATGCGAAGCCAAGAGCCCACTTGAGCGAACTGCCTTCCAACGGAAAGTCTGACTGATCACGCGATTTTGCTCCATTGAATGCACATAGTCCCCCCCAGTTAGACAAAGAGTACCAACCAGCGAAAAGTGGGGGGTCACCAAGAAAAGTTGGAAGTTGGGGTAGTTGCACATTTTTTTGGGCTATCAGCCCGAGACAGATGCGTCGATGCGTCTACGCTGTTTGCGTGGAAAAGGTTGGTTTGGACCTGGTCATCTTTGGCTGCCAAGGGAGCTCTGAAAATTGGAAAAATCTTCTGGTGAAGAGCCGGAATGACTAGAAACCACACATGTTTCAATGCTAGGATTGGGGCTACGGGTTGACATTCAATATGGATCAACAAGGCTGTTTTCAGCTACTTCTGGTGATATCACCAGCATTTTTCCGAGGGAATCCAGAAACAGGAAAGCCATAGCCCATGATCGGGCGATTTCTGATTACGATTTGCACCCTCTGTGTTCATGCAAAATGAACTATAAATGGGAGATGTTCCATTGCCAACGATCACACGTTCCCCATTGCTGGTGTGTTATCTTCTTGTTCCTTGGGTCAACCCATTTTAATTCTGTCAACTTAATGGGTTGGTAATAGGTTACAGATGATTACAGCGTATAGCCGTATAGCCATTAAACTTACAGTAATTAGTCGTTATCGAAGTTGTAACATCTTGTACCCTCTGGTAAATCAACATAGACCCTGAAAATCACATTTTTTTAGTGGAAACTAGTTTTTCAACCCCTATCTGGCAGGGTCTATATTAATTCACTGGAGGGTAACTATCCAGTGCAGCATTTGTGGAGGGAGGTCAAACCTTTCTTTTTGTATCACCTAGTGATTTGCAGAACGCGAACTGAGGCGATGCTCGTGACCTTTGAGACGCAAGTGGTGAAGCCAGAATCCCCGGTGAGACGCAAGTGGTTGGATGGGCCAACGCCTAGCTTTCAGATGTTTGAAATAAGTAGCTTAACTATGGCTGACTGATGTTGACTGTGAGCTATTTCAACCATGGTTATGGAAACTATGGTGAACTATGGTTAACTATTGTTAAGTGTTGGGGTTATGGTATATATCATATATTATCCAACTAGCTCGACCGGTTGATGAATCAACATAACTATTACCCTCTGGTTATTTAACATAGCCATGGTATAAATGGCCCATTCATAGATGATTTTCCCAGCTATAAACCTCCATTTATGGTTGGGATTTTCCATGGCTATGTTAGTCATAACCAGATGGTATAGTGCGATAAGTATCATAACTGGGGAGCCCTTTCCGGATGGGATGATTTCTCGGATTTCTCGTTAAACAGATGCGGTCCTCATCGTTTCACCAGAAATGGGGGATACCCTCTGGTAAACTAACGTAACTATGGAAAATCACCATTTTTTAATGGGAAAATCCACTATAAATGGTCATTTTCAATAGCTATGTTAAATTACCAGAGGGTATCAAGCCTGACCAGAAACAGATGCGGCATTTTTGTGTCAGGAAATAGGCTATTTGTCAAAGGAACAGAAAAAGCAGCTGGTTGATGATTAGTTCGGGGATAAAAAAACGCACTGATCACACTCCATGAGGGGAATCCCCAAGATTCCCATTGTATCCCCATCATAGATCATCATAGACTATATCCTATATACCCGTTTGGGATAAATAAATATAATATTATATATAATTATATGTATAATACTATATGGGTATATGATGGTATATGTCTACCCTATTAAACTATATGAAAAAATCCCCATGATCCCCATAGAAATCCCCACCGGAGGCTGGGCACAAGTCCGTCCTTGGGATTTTGTGCTCGCCTCAGGGTGACGAAACAGTGGATCATCCCCAAAGGGGAAGATGATCCAAAGAGCGAAGTGGAAAGATCCCATTTTTCATAGGAATTCAGAGGTACCCGGCCTGGTAAACGTTTAGCGAACTGGAAAATCACTATTTTATAGCTGGGTAAATCCACTATTTCGACTGTGCCATGGCTTCAATGTCGCAAACTGTTAGTTTACCAGAGGGTAAACCATCTATTTCGAACTGGGCCATGGCGTCCAGTTCGCGTCCCGTTCGCGAGGAGTAACTGGAGAATTACCAGAGGGTACACCAAATGTACTAAG